ATAAGATTTGGTCTGTAAAACTGAGTGAGGGGAAAGTTTTTCTTCATCATGTAATGGGTCTGTAAATATTTCTGTTTGTCTAATAAGATTTGGTCTGTAAAACTGAGTGAGGGGAAAGTTTTTCTTCATCATGTAATGGGTCTGTAAATATTTCTGTTTGTCTAATAAGATTTGGTCTGTAAAACTGAGTGAGGGGAAAGTTTTTCTTCATCATGTAATGGGTCTGTAAATATTTCTGTTTGTCTAATAAGATTTGGTCTGTAAAACTGAGTGAGGGGAAAGTTTTTCTTCATCATGTAATGGGTCTGTAAATATTTCTGTTTGTCTAATAAGATTTGGTCTGTAAAACTGAGTGAGGGGAAAGTTTTTCTTCATCATGTTATAGGTCTGTAAACATTTCTGTTTGTCTAATAAGATTTGGTCTGTAAAACTGAGTGAGGGGAAAGTTTTTCTTCATCATGTAATCGGTCTGTAGATATTTCTCTTTGTCTAATATGATTTGGTCTGTAAAACGGAGTGAGGGGAAAGTTTTTCTTGATCATGTAATAGGTCTGTAGATATTTCTGTTTGTCTAATACGATTTGGTCTGTAAAACTAGTGAGGGGAAAGTTTTTCTTGATCATGTAATGAGTGTAGATATTTCTGTTTGTCTAATATGATTTGGTCTGTAAAACTGAGTGAGGGGAAAGTTTTTCTTGATCATGTAATGGGTCTGTAGATATTCTGTTTGTCTAATAAGATTTGATCTGTAAAACTGAGTGAGGGGAAAGTTTTTTAATAATATAATGGGTCTGTAGATATTTCTGTGCCTGTAATAGACACTAGTAATGTTGTCCTACTTATAAACTTATGTGAAATATGAGTTTGTCACTCTTAGTTTTGATTTATTTGTAGATAATTATTAGCAAACAGTTATTCTACTTTACTAAAATACGTATTTGTAAATTATTTTTATCAAACATATCTTCCATAACACAAAAATCATAAGCTACTCTGATAAGTGGCACATGGCACATCACTGAAGGTGATTTTGTTTGTACAATTATTATTTTTTATTATATTGAGATTGTTATGTGTAAATGAATAATTAAAGGTTTTGATGTCTTCTGAAAATAGTACTCTGGAAAAATTTTACTTTTTGTATGGAATGGTGCCACACGTTGAGGTTGTGAATAATTGTACATTAGAAAAATATGCTTGTAGTAGATCTAAGGAAACAAACTTTCCAGTAAAGAGGAGATTAATGTACAACATGGTGGTGATGTATAGGATAATGTGGTTGTTGCTTTATACCATTGGTTTCTAATGACAGTAAAGTGAACATTAATGTACAACATGGTGGTGATGTACAGAATAATGTGGTTGTTGCTTTATACCATCGGTTTTTAATGACAGTAAAGTTTACATTAATGTACAACATGGTGGTGATGTAGAGGATACTGTGTTGTTGCTTTATACCATTGGTTTTTAATGACAGTAAAGTGGACATTAATGTACAATATGGTGGTGATGTAGAGGATAATGTGTTGTTGCTTTATACCATTGGTTTTTAATGACAGTAAAGTGTACATTAATGTACAACCTTTGAAAGGAAAACTCATTCATATTAATCAAGCTATACTTGGCTTTGAAAGAAAAACTCATTCATGCTTCATCACCATACATGTATATATACCATGTCTTGTAAGGGTGTAGAAACATGATTTGTGAAGACATATTGCAGCGTTAGTTGAATAGACATTATAATTCTTACCTAAAAATGGATATAACTGTTTTGTAATAAGACAAAATAAAGATACGAACAAAGTTTAACTTCATAATATGTTAATTTGTAACAAACCAATCTTTAAAGATTTTTAAAACTCACTTACACAGACCTTTGAGCAAAATGTAAAACACTTTTTATTATTCAACTTTCTTGTAATTTACATCCTTTTCCTTTGTTTTTTAATCAATCAATCTCAACAAGCTATTTGACTACACACATGAATAGAAAGTGGTTCAAGCTGAATTTACAATTCATACAAAGGTGATATATATATGTGCAATTCACACATCTGTGTGTAAAATATAGCTGGAGTAAACAACACAAACACTAAGAAAACTATTAAAAGTTGACACACCATTTAAAGTTCTACACATACCCAAAAGATTTTTTTAAAGGGATATTCTCTAATCTATTAGGTTACAATTTCTAATAATGTAAAATAAACTTCGAAAGTTTGAGCAATTTTGACGATTTGTTACTTCTTATTAAAGAAGCAAAATAGAAGTTACTTTATTAGTGAAGAAAACATTTTTTTTACTGGCATCTTAATAAAACAGGAGCAAAAGAGTAGATTAACCTTTTTTCTCACAAACAAATTGAAATCATTATTTCATGAAGAAGGAACAAAATAATCTTAAACCTTCTGAGCTCCTTCAGACAATTCACTGTTCAATTTCTTTTTATGCGATATTCATTTAATAATCTTGATCATCAAATTTCTGACACTTTTAGACATGATATAAAACATTTATATGAATTATAACTGACAATAAAAAATTGTTTGCAAAAGTATGAAGGTTAGGCTGTCATTAAAAACTGATCTTATAAAGCAACAACCACATTATTCTGTACATCACCACCATGTTGTACATTAATGTAAACTTTACTGTCATTAAAAACTGATCTTATAAAGCAACAACCACATTATTCTGTACATCACCACTATCCAAGTATAGCTTGATTAATATGAATGAGTTTTCCTTTCAAAGCCAAGTATAGCTTGATTAATATGAATGAGTTTTCCTTTCAAAGTCAAGTATAGCTTGATTAATATGAATGAGTTTTCCTTTCAAAGCCAAGTATAGCTTGATTAATATGAATGATTTTCCTTTCAAAGCCAAGTATAGCTTGATTAACATGAATGAGTTTTCCTTTCAAAGCCAAGTATAGCTTGATTAATATGAATGAGTTTTCCTTTCAAAGCCAAGTATAGCTTGATTAACATGAATGAGTTTTTCTTTCAAAGTCAAGTATAGCTTGATTAATATGAATGAGTTTTCCTTTCAAAGTCAAGTATAGCTTGATTAACATGAATGAGTTTTTCTTTCAATATCAAGAAAAGCTTGATTAATATGAATGAGTTTTCCTTACAAAGCCAAGTATAGCTTGATTAATATGAATGAGTTTTCCTTTCAAAGCTAAGTATAGCTTGATTAATATGAATGAATTTTCCTTTCAAAGCCAAGTATAGCTTGATTAACATGAATGAGTTTTCCTTTCAAAGCCAAGTATAGCTTGATTAACATGAATGAGTTTTCCTTTCAAAGT